TACGCAAAATACATGAGACTTTTCTCTGTGCATGGCAAAAGAAGCTCGCCAAAATGGCTTCACCAGTCTGGCAGTTTTTCAAGGTGTCCGAAAAAGACATTAAAATACCTATATGCAACGAGTGTGGAGCACGCAGGTCTACCTGATCACAGCTCCGCCCACTGTGACGGAGCCGGTGAGCAGAGAAAACACACACTTCAAGTTAAACCTAAAACACTGAGCCAGTGGTTCCCGAACCTGGGGGGCAAAGATCGCAGGGGGGGGTGCCAGGCCTCAGATGATTTGAGGCCAAATATCCTATTTAGACTTTTTTTTTATATATATAATTGTAACGCAATACATGATTGTCACTAAAAAGCCTTGTCTCTACAATAAAATAACATATATAAAAATAATTGATTAATTAATTTGAATACAAATTCAATTTAGTAGCTATTAAAGGCATAAAAAGACAGAAATGTATAATTCTTTCTTTAATAGAAATGTTTCTTCTGCCCGTAAAGTGTCCAAACCGGGCTTGTATGGATAAGCGCATTTTTAAAACTAGTCATTGTCCATGCCGGTTTCAGTTGGATTATTTGTCAGTTGCTCCGATCAGATCGGTCTCCTCCATTTTGTAGATTATTTAAGACTTTTGAATCCACATAAACACATCGGCAAAATCCGGTTTACTTTGAGCATGTGTTTTAAACAGTTTAATCTCTTTGTGAATTGTTTCCACTTGTGTCGTCCTTTAATTTCTTCATACAGCGGGAATCCAAATGAATTCATCCTGAGTCCAATAACCATCAAAGTCACTCTAATAGTGCTCCTTAGTTACGCTTTCATCCTCCTTTAACAAAATACTTCACATTCATCCAGTTTGTGACGGTAGTTGTAGCATTTTGAGACTTTGAAACTTTAATTACCGCTGTTGCGCCCCTGGGGGGGCTCTTGGTAAAAAAGGTTGGGAACCCCTGACCTAGAGGATAAGCTATTACTATATTATCCGGATAGGAGGTTTTGGCCATATCCCCATAAGAGGAGCAGTCTTATCTAAGCAACAGGATGTATTCTGTCCTTTTATACTATTTATCACATTTAATCCCCACAAGCAATCAACTCGTAACAATATCATAAAGCAGAACATTCACACTGCAGCTTTAAATCCTCTAACGTAAGCCTGTAGTTCACTGGGTCACACATTGAGTCTAACACACCTTCAGGTACTTTTCCATACAGACTCCAGCTGTACATGGACATTGGAATTAGCAATGTTTACTCAAAGAGTGAGTAATGTCTCACTCTTTGAGCAGCTTCCTTCTTAGATGACGAGGTTTCTTGTATGATTATAAACTTACCTTTCGTGAGTTTATAGCTACACATGGCTCTAAGCCTTAGCATAAACAACTTGATTTAAATACGTTTGATGTCAGATATTTTCACTTAATCTGGTTCAATATCAAATAACTACTAATGTGAATTCAGCTTCAAATCAATTCTAATTCAACCCGTCAACCTGAGTAAGAACATGTGTGTATTAATAGCAGAGAGAAGGTCGGTACACACATTATACCTGGAGGCCGCCAGAAAACCCTCAGAATAGACTGTTGACTTGTAACGACAGAGCTGAAGAGCGTGCAGACAGAGATACAAATAGATTAGCCATGTTTGTCTAAATCCCTGTCCTTATTCACTCTCCCATCTGACATTTATGATATGAGTGATAATGCTGATCCGGAGTATGTTGTTGTCAGATGCATTACAATCACACAAAATCAGTTTTGCTCACATGATACGTGCATACAGTCTGAGATGCCAGAGGACTAATGCTATCAAACGTATCATCATCATGTGAACTACACTGCGCTCGCATTTAATGGGGGAATGTTTGTGTCCACTCGAAACAAACAATTGAATAAGACCGGATAACAAGGAGAAGATTGTCTTTCCCTCAGTCTCGTTGTGCCTGACACAAGTTGCAATGGTTTGGGGAAAACACTGGGCCTCATGCAGGAAGTCATACACAAATAAATGTCCACGATTTGGTCCTATTTTCTTATTACCCATAGCTTTGATTCCCCCAATGTTTTTTATAGTTAGTAAGTTAATTTTAGACTGTTTTCACAGTCCACGAGTAGAAATAAGTTTAGTCACAATCATTTTATATAATCAAATGTATTATCTTGTGTTTTAGAGATATATTCATGATTGGCTTATAACATTTGTGGGCTGCAGATATTATTATAATCAATCAATCGTAATTTTAGACAAAAAAACCTACACTTTAGTGCTGTTGGAGTTCCTCTTCTTTCATACTCTAAGCATATGGTGTTACATAAGTCCCATTTCAGTTTTTTCAGTAAAACTATGTCATTGGTTATGGATACAAATCACTGGGAGTTTGTTTATTTCCCATCCGTCTTAAATAAAAATGTCTCTCAGGAGGACCGAAGAATTGAATCCAATAAAGATAACCACGTCTCAAAGTGCGATCTGGAACGCTCTCAGACTCTCTGATGCTGAAAAGAGATAAAATGAAGAACCCACATGAAGCTCTGGTGTCAAAGAGCCAGCAGAGCAATGTAAACACAACACGGGTCAGAAGAGCATCCGGTAGTGAGCTTCCTGTTTGTGAAAATACCCATAATGCCTTGCAATCTCTCCTCACAGGACTATCCCTCTCTGGCTCTGCTGGGGGAGAAACTGGCAGAAAATAACATCTTCCTCATCTTCGCCGTGACGAAACGCCTCTACGTTATTTACAAGGTACTTTGATTTCCATACTTTTCTTATTTATTATATGGCCAATGACGTTTAACGACGGCTCATTTCAAAATACGAAAAATCTGAACATCTAATCATATTTTTCCAACGTTTAGATTGTGCTTTACACATAAATGCATAACCGTTTTTTTATTTGGGTTATAGAAGTGGTTGTTCGTCTTAATAAATCGAATGATCCTTCAAAAATGTCAGGATTTATCTTAAGAATAAATAAATAATTCAACTTTTTTTTAACTTTTTTTTTACAAGCTGTCAGTCATCTTAAGTGTTTGGAAACAAATGATTTGTATTTATTGAGAAATGTTGTTAGAAGTGAACTTACCGTTATCTTATTCTTTATGTATTTGTTAATAATGTTGACAGGTGAATTGTCTTTCATGCAAGTAACTATCTTTGACTTCTTTCCCTTTCAAAGAACTTCACTGCACTCATACCTGGAACCACGGTAGAAATCCTGGACACGGACTCTAAGAACGTCATCCAGCTGATCATCGCAGCGTACAACGTGAGTGAAGACTATCTGTCAGTGTGGGTGTTTCTCAATGCCGAGGACGCTTGGTAGCACATGTCTTCCGAGTCACTTCCTTCAGAAGCGAGGCAAGAATACTTCTTGGCATTCGGAAAACAAAGAGTGGAACAGGC